ATTAAAGTAGAAAAAGTAAAATGTTTAGCATAAAAAATATATAAAAAAAGAATTTCATTAGAAGCTTTTCGTGAAGGGAACAGCAAGTTTAGAACAAAATATGTCTGAAAACTATTCACAACCTTTTTTTTTAATTTAGAAAACAACCTTCACCGAATACGACAGATTATATTTTTACTTTGTTTTTTGCAAGCTTTATAACATAACCAAAAGGCATTATTATTATATCAAAACAATAAATTTTTCTGTTTGTTTTCAAAAAGGTCTATTTGAACACTGCTATACGACCTTCTCTTATCATCGATTTTTCATACGTATTGATGACAGTTAAAAAACAAAATCTTTGTGTTTCGAATAAGACACAATTTTGTGAAATATTCAGACAAAATATAGTGTCCACGTTGTAAACAACAAAGTGTACTTTTATTCAAACTATCTATTAGTCAATCTCTTGTACATCAGGCCAACTATTTAAATATGATATAAAAGCCTTTGGTGTAATCCACAGTTATATATACATATATTTCAATCAAAAATTATGACCGAAGTTACAAAAGAGTTTTATACTATTGTTTGTTCTAAGGTTTTTGTGACCTTCAGAAAACATTCCTATTAATTTCTTTTTTATATATGTTTGCACTCAACATCTGGGCCATTCTATCGAAAACAAAAGAAAACATCAAAATCTCTACAATATTGCAATGCAACACTATCTCTGAAAATAAAATCAATGCCGAACTTTTACCATTATCATTACTATGAAAAATGATTTTTTGGAAGATATTAATTAGGTACATTTTGTTCTCAAACAAGACAATAAATAGTGTCATCTTGACTCTTGCTAATCATAAAAATATCAAACTATTAATTTTCCCCGGCTCAAATCAGAATAACATTCAAATATAGTTTAGTTATTTTTCTCAATGAAATTAAATAATAAATGTCCGATCATAGGTTTTTTTTTTTTCAAAACTTTGATAGCTATAATAATTTTTTGTAATGCTAATTCATTAAACACAACCATACTATTTTTCAAAGGGATGATCTATGTTATTTATTTGAATATGTGCATGGTAAAGATTCAAATGTGCTATTATCTTTCATTCGAAATCATGACATAAACGAAAAAAATGGTTCAACATATACAAACAATCAAATGGTATCAACATTTCTTTGTTTGATTATGATTGTTAACCACGCATATGTGTAAAGGGTAAGATGAAGAAGAAGGTAAATATAAACGAAAAAAAAAAAAAGAAGAAGAAAAAGAAAGAACAAATAATATTTCACTGATTTTCGATTATTAATGTGTTTTGTTGTTGTTTTTTTTTGTATGTCACCAGTAATTGATAGATACAAAATAAAAATAATTAATAAACTAAAATTATTTTGTTGTAAAAAAAAAAAAGAAAGAAGAAGTGAAAATTTATTTATTTAAATAAACGTGCTCGTAATTGCTTAATACCATCTAATTTACGTTTCATATTATTTAATTCATAACGATTTTTTAACTAAAAATAGAAAGAATTAATTAAGAAATAATAAAAAAAAAAAAAAAAAGAATGAATAAATGAATGAAAAATAGCATACAGCATCAGCTTCTAATTGATAAAATCGTGGTGCAACGCCATCCGAATTAAGAAGAGATTCACGAGATATATCACTTCGTTCACGAATATCATAGATTTTATCAGCACATTCATCATTAATACGTAAAAATTCTCTGAAAAAAAGATAATTTATCTATAATATATCAATTGAATATATCTTACCTTCCAGCTTCTGCTTGATCTTCACATCTCCATGTTGATGGCTTATGATCGACTTGTTTGCCTAATGACTTATATTGTGAACCAACTTCATTAACATGATTTTTTTCCAACCATGCATACTAGAAAATGAATAAATAAATTATTTTATAAACAATTAATTGTTTATTTTTACTCGATTTTGATAACGATCATGAAATTCTGCTCGGTCACTTCCAACAGTCGATGGATGTAAATCCAAATGAGTTAATGGAGATTTATGATGAGAATTGCGAAGAGAGCTTGATGAATGATGATATGAATCGTAAGATGAACGCATCTTTTATTATGATTCTATTAAGATGAATCTACAGAAATAGTATAAACATTATTGCTTAAGATATAAAGTTACTACATAAAAGAGTCTCAAAAAAGAGAAAGAAAAAAAAAAAAGCTAATACATAAGATGAACGGAAGCGATTGATTGATCAAGAACAGTCGCTATTTTACTATGCTACACTTATATACAAAGACGGATTACTTTAACCTCTTATAATATGTATGGAATTTTCTATTCTCCTACTTAATTTTATCCTAACCTATGTTTATACTCGATTATTGTTTTCCAAGAATATCCTTTTACTCTTCCGCTCTTTCTGTTTCTTATTTGATACTAACACGGTTAAAAGACAGCGGTAATAGTTGTTATGTTGTTTTGAGAATTCTTATTTTTTTTTCTCTCTTTAGCTCTTTGATGCTTAGTAGTATCATCCGGAAAAAAATAAGCAAGCTCGATTATCGCAAAGAACATGTAAAAAGAAAATAAAAAGCAGTTACGTTTAGTCTGATCTTTTCTCTCATGCCTACTGAAAACATATATCGACAACAGCTAAAAAAAAAGCCGATAACGGAATAGAAGAAGAAGAACAGTGCGTGTATGTATGTATGCATTTCTAGTCGTGAAAATACGGAGACAATTTTTCTTGTTCTATATCTCTCTTTTTTTTTTTCTTATTCTCGCTTGGATGCAGTCGCAATATCCGATGATGATTAGGAAGTCAGTTGTTATATATGTTTGCCTCATGGTTAAGATAAGAGACAACTAAATCGTAATAACAGTAGAGAAAAAGAGAAAAAACAGAACTCAAAATGGTACATATCAACATAAATAAGATTATATTATACTTAGTCAATGATGTTTATCTTATTTTTTGAAAATATATATAAAGACAACAAAAAAGTCTATCAAATTAAAATGCTATCATCAAAAATATCCAACCATTCATTAAGTCAATCTCTTTCTTGTACTATTCTCATTGTAAAGACTATTGTTATGTGTATATTCAATCATATTCTCTCTTTTCTATCCGTTATCCTCAAGGACATTTTTCATCTTTCTAACAAGTAGGCGTATTGATAAGAACGTACGAATATACTTTCTAGTGCTTTACAAACTATAGCAATGAATCCATCTATGGTGTTACACTTCTATAGACAGATATTTCGAGCGAGTTACAATATGATGTTGTTATTATTACGACTGAATTATCGTTCTGCTGTATAACGACATTTATCTTCATTTTTCTTAGAAAATGTAGTTAGCCATTCATAATATCAAATCAATTTGTTATGTCCTTTTTCTTTGACTATGTCAGCTTGTTTATTATTCTATTTACTTATAGGACTTTCGAAGAAATTAAGTTTCATCTTGAAAGATAATTTTTATCTTGAGTAATATACAGTAGATTCTACACTGTATATATGTTCGTTTGTTTATCTCATATAAATTACCTATCCAAATAAACTTTTGAAGAGAGACAGTATATGTCTCAAATATCATGCTAATTTATAGGGAAATTGATTATTCTTCTATTTTCTTTTGATCATAGAGCAGAATTTCAAGTATTTCTAAATAATGATTTCTTATCTGAATCATGTAAGAGTATTGATAGTAAAAGTAAATTCAATATTCGTGTCACAAATAAAAACTACATTTAAAGTATTTTCTGTTTTTCTGTAGGTATAAATAAAAAAAAAATTTTTACAATAGTTTATTCAAGTTATATGAATATGTATAGTTGGGTTTTTAGCATCTATGTGATATCAGCATGAATTATCATTGATAAACCATTAAATATATTTACTCCAACAAGGTCAAGCTATATTACTTGACCTAATCAAATTACATAATAATTTGCAGAAAGAAAAAATTGTCCATACGTATAAACAAACGAATTAAAGATGAATTCACAAATATGAAACACATTGAGTCGCACAATGATGTGTTTATTTTATTGTCTCATTCTATAGACTGATCAATAAAGTTAATCAATTTAATGAATTATTAAAATTCTTTTATGGTTTAAATAAGTCGCACCTCTACATAAACGAGATTATCTGTCGTTTTTATTTTCTTCTAGGTTATAGGAAATAGTAGGAAATGCATCTCATATATTCGATGCTTAGTATGGTCAATAGCCTCAAAAGAATTTCAGAGATGAAGTGCGAATAATTCTCCATTGTAATTTGAAATTAATCATGTACACCTCTTGTTTGATAAAAGTGTGTTCAAATCTAATTAATGTTCTAATCATGACATCTTTAATAACAAAAAGCAACTAATATCAATTTATCACGACTCGACCATCTTTAAGCTTCGGATTTATTGTCCGCTTGAGAGTCACGTGGATTTCATTTGATTATATAAATATGATGTACGCAATTGTTAGTAGTTTATCAAGAACATATAAAGATTCTAGACAAGATTTGATTACAAGAAGAACTAATAAAAACAAAAAAGTTGTTAGTTCAAAGTAGAGATGGAACCGGCACCAGTACTAATTTCAGATCAGACGAGTATGTCTATAGACTGATTGTTATCGATGTGTTTTATTAATTTCCTTACTCTTACGATTTCGAAAAATATGCAATGAAACTTTGTTGAAAGTTGTCTACGTCAAATATATAAAATTAAATAAAACATTAAAAAACATGGATTTTTGAAAAATATAACAAATTCTAATAATAGAGACGAGCAACATATAACAATATCTAAATCAAATCTTGATTTAGTAGAATTTTATTTACTATCAATAGCTGCAAAAGAAAAAAGAAAAGAATAATAATATCAGTTGAGCTATATCAAATAGAATAATAGTAAATATATAATAATAAAACGTTTGAATTTTCAGCCATAATTGAGGCCATCGTCAGAAACAAATTGATGGAAAAATTAATATAATCAATTTCATAATGATTGTTGTACATTATTCTATGTACGATATGAATGAGATAAATCAAATAACAAAACCAGTAAATGAAAATGCACCTAATCCAGGACCTATATCACCTAATACAGAGTCACCACCATCAGCAAGACCATTAACATTAACACCTGTTGTTGTTTCTCTAAATAGAGAATGAAAGAATTCAGATATTGTTATATATTGCTCGTCTTATTATTAGAATTGTTATATTATTCAAAATCCATGTTTTTTAATGTTTTATTTAATTTTATGTATGAATTTTAAAAGCAATTACAAACATGGTATGTTTTTCATTCTCTATTTAGAGAAAAAACAAACAGGTATTAATGTTAATGATCTTGCTGATGGTTGTGACTTTGTATTAGGTGATATAGGTCCTAGATTAGGTGCATTTTCATTTACTGGTTTTGTTATTTGATTTATCTCATTCATATCGTACATAGAATAATGTACAACAATCATTATGAAATTGATTATATTAATTTTTCCATCAATTTGTTTCTGACGATGGCCTCAATTATGGCTGAAAATTCAAACGTTTTATTATTATATATTTACTATTATTCTATTTGATATAGCTCAACTGATATTATTATTCTTTTCTTTTTTCTTTTGCAGCTATTGATAGTAAATAAAATTCTACTAAATCAAGATTTGATTTAGATATTGCTATATGTTGCTCGTCTCTATTATTAGAATTTGTTATATACGTCAAATATCATTGTTCACAGACAGAATAGTACAACAATTCATTAGGTTAGTGTCGAGATGAATTTTACACCAGTCTGTCCGGCTTATTTGAATCGATTCCATCTCTGGTTCGAACTATATATCTAGAATAGTTTTTTGATCATTATGTAGTCTTTTTCAATTTCTTATATATATATGTGGAATCATTCATAACTTTCATGAAATTCGACATACCTTGAGCTGCTTCCACTATAGCAAGAACGACCCCCTATAATTAACTGATGTTATCAGTATATTATACTGAGTATCTACAATCTATACCTGAAAAGATATGGTTTAAATGAATGCTGTAAACGCTTGACATCACCAAGAATCTCAATGCGATCTGCCTGGAGTCCAGGTGGTTACAACATATATTTACATGTATTTCGAGATAACTGTCTGTTAGTATCGATAGTAGTTAAGGGTTATCAGTAGATATAATCAACATAATTTGCTAACCTTCTCTAGAGCATATTTAGAAGATGAGCCGATGTAATCAAACGCTATGTACCTATAATTGAGTAATGGAACTGGCTAGAGTCCATGCAAATTTCAGATGATCATGTTAGAGTAAATTAAAGCTTTTTAGATTTTCAATGTTGATATGTTGTATCTTCTTTGATTTTTTTTTCTTTCAGATATTTACAAGCCATTAGTAGAAAATTTCATATGTATGCGACCAATTAATCATTACTGATTGGATTAAATGCTTTACATAATCTATCGATTAGATAGATTTTTGTTTTAATTCTTTTATTATTACTAATGACAATTGAGAACAACGTCTCAAGTGCTTTAAAAAATGGTCCAAATATAAATAAATACATCGAACATTACGTGAAATTAATATTGATGATGTTGGAAAAGAGTTCAAAAAAACCTATTTTATATCCAAAACCCATTCATTAATGTATTCTTGTAGTGCATTTTGAAAATAGAATGCGAAGATAAAGAATTCTTACCTATAATCCTAATCAAGATAGACACAAAAAAAATTTACCAACTTCGATTGAAAAAGATGACTTTTTTTGTGAAATCAATGAACTCATGTAGACTTCTCAAAATAAAATTTAAAAATGTAATAAATCTTAATGAAGTTCTGGCAAATCTCAAATTATTACTAGGTTTTACTAGATCTCTGATTGCAGATTTCTGACTTTGGACGGAAAAAATCTATAACAAAATTCAGAAAAACAGAAACCAAAGATTGCAAAAAATAGAAATGTTACTTCGGTAATACCACTATTTAAATGACGACGATGATAGCGACTATTCATTAAACCTCAATGACGTACTCTTATACTATCATCATCATTTAAGAAGTGACATCTCACATTCGTGCACATTTCGCAACCTCTACAGCAAAATTATTATGAATTTCTACAAATTGAAAAAAATCCTACGAATTAGAACTAATATAAAATCATGAGTTACTTGTATCAAAAACCAGAAATCAGTGACCAGAGTTTTAATAAAATTTAGTAATAATTTGACATTAGTCTCAACTTCAAATAGATATAATATAATCAACTATTTTCAAATTATTGCTTTCTTTCTGACAAAAAAAAAAAACTATCACAAATTATAAAATCAAATAGTAGAGAATACTTTTTATTTATGAGTAATTCTGTCACTAAAATAAAATAACATAATTCATTTGCTCATTGGAGTATCATTCGTTTTGAAGTACAAAGAAGAATAGGTATATAAATAAGTAACTTTTTTTTTTGTCAAATCACACTGTTATAGATAACAAAATAAAAAGCCAAACACACATGATAAATATACATGGTAAAAAAAAAAGAAAAAGAATATTTATCAGACACTTTATAAAAAATAATCAATTATAATTGTTATTGATATATATGTATGAAATATTAGTGGGATTATTCAGATGGACGGAACTAAAATCACCGGAAGAACAAAAAAAAAACAAATTATTTTGATATTTTCGATAGACTTCTTGATAGAATTGTTGGCTGTTGAACACTACTTGATCTTTGATAATTTATATTATCATCATTACGTACTGATAAACGATTTAAATAATAAGGACGTGTATTAGATTCTCCATAATGTTGATTATTGACAGTAACACCACTGTGATGATTTTCTTGTTCAAATATTCGTCTTCGATATTCTTCTTTGACACGTTCAGATTGTGAATAAAGTTTTTCAAATATTAAATGTAAATCATTTGGTCGAAATAATTTTATTAAAAGAGCTTCAATAACAATGTAAACAAATCGACGATTAAGAGTTTCATTTTGTAATAATTCAAATAAACGTAATAAACCACGACGAGTTGTTTCACTACCAATTATATGGCGAAGTTCGTCTGAAAAAAAAAAGCAATAAGTATATTCTCTTATTAGAGATAACCATCTAAAAATGTCTACTCTCATAACTTTATTAAACTCAAATATAAAACTAATAACGTAACTAAAATAAAATTCTTTCGTTAAAAAATCGAAATCTATATAAAATTTTCCGATAAGTCTAAGTGGTTTTTTTGTTTTGTTTTATACACTATTTACCTGAAACAATTCCAAGTAATTTAGCTTTGCATATTACTTGAGTTATATTACGGACACCTGGATCACGTTCGGGTGATTTATCAGCTTGAATACCATTTGGCCAAAAACTCTCTCTAGAAAAAAAGAGAATTTTCATAGTTGAGAGTTAATAAAAACCTTTTTTTTTGTCATACTTGAATCGTATTATTTCTTTCGCAATTTTTTTTGCTGATGTCCAATGTTGAACAAACGTTGCAATTCGTCTAATACAAGATAAATTAAATTAAAAGAAAAGAAAAATAACAGCAATAAAATATACCGATTAACTGAATCACCCATAAATGCTCTTAAAAATCGTTTTAATATCGATACAAATCTTGAACGAAACCACATATTTTTTTGTTTAAGATCAAATACTTCATCCATAATAACAAGAAGTACACGAAGTGGAATATTTTTAGCATTCTAATACAAAATAAAACAAATAAACATTATTTTTTTTTTTTTTGTATAATACAAAATATTCATATTTAATTACTGCTTCTTGAGTTTCTTCAACAATAGAAAATGTTTGTGTATCTTGACCGAAATTAATATTCATTTGATTATTATTATTTGCATTTGTTCGAAAGATTTTTCCAGCATTTTCAACAACAGTATCCGATACAATTGTTAATCCACCACCTATTTTTGATACACCTTTCGCAATACCCATTGATGCTTGTTTAAATGGATTTGCAAGTGTATCCATCTATATAAATATATCAAAAAAAAAACAAATATATTCATAAAAAAATATATAAAAGAAAAAGAAGGATAAATTGTGACGAAACACAAATAAGAGGAAACTACTTCCTTAGTAAATTTGTGCAATTACGAACGTTAGTGTTAAAGAAAAAGAAACTCTAGGAAGGCACAAACCGTAGCAGTGAAAAAATCCTATAAGATAAAATTAAAATAAAAAACTGCAATCATCTCTCCATAAAACAACACAAAATCATTTCGATTTCATGTTAATGAAAAATCAGAATTATGAAAAGATTAGCTGAGCTTATGAATTATCGTATATTTTTAAATGGTAAACTTTTCATAGACAACTAAACTATCTAAAATATTCAGAATATATTCATCAAAGTGTATTAAAATGCTGCAATCATTATATCTATTAATAAAAACGTCTTTTCTATCGAGTTCTGTTTTTCGTGTGTAACAGAAAAAAAAACTGATCTTTCAATAACAGATTTCGAGGATTTTTTAATTTTCTATCTTCTATTGATTCAAACAATACTATTTCATAGTAACTTGTATAATACAGAGAATGTCACAAAATAGACTTGTACATTCGTAAAGAGTCTTGACTAAAAGTGTGCGGTACCAAGTTATTTTTCGTTCAAGTCTCGATCAAGAGAAAACTATTCTAGAATTTCTTAGTATTACATCGACAAATTTTTTTAATACTCGTTTTTTGATTTATTTAGTCGATGACTAGAAGTTGTTTTTTTTGATCATCTCTCTTGATTTATCTTTTAATTGATAATTTATAAGAGAATTCACTTAAAATTATAGAATAATTTACTATAATTTTTAATGCCAGTTAGAACAAATTTTTTTCTCGTAGTTCCGGTTTCGTGATTCGGCACATTTCTAATTTTGACTAATAAAAAGATTCACAAAAAAAAGGACCGTTTTCATAATTGGCCTATATTTGATTCATTGAAGTCTAGAAATGAAAACTAATCAATTGTAAGACATCCAATGACATTTCTGGAATCTTGAAATCCATGATTTCTTGATGAATATTAATATCAGTGATTGGATATGAAGTTGGATTATTTTTTTAGTTTTACCTTTCGAGCTAATTCTGTTTGTTCATGTTTCCATTGTTGATTTCGTAAAAATTTCAGTACAAGTTCACCAAGACCTGGATTATTTTGAAGTACTTTTGGATTTACTAATGTCTACACAAAACAACCAACTTAAGAAACTCAGAAAGAGAAAAAAAACTTACTGTTAAATAATCATTCAATTCTTTTTGTCGTTTTAAACGTACTTCTTGACTTGTATTATTAATAAAGCTTTTATTGGGTAAATTAATAAATTCTCTTAGAGCAGGAAAACGTTTTTTTATTGTCATATGAAGATCATTAAATTCACTATAACGACGATATGTTATCCATTCACGTCGTTGTTCATCATTAATTGCATGTAATGGTTTACAAAAAACAGATATCACATAAATTGCATATTTTTCACCTTTCTCACAACATACACCTTACAAAGAAAAATTTATATACATTAAGTCAATTAAATGTTTAAAATTTACCGGATTCATTGATTTCTGTAGTAATTAGATAATTCTCAATAGTATCAAGAATATCAGGTGTCATTGTATTTGTACGTTCTATATTTGTTCCAGGACTTGCCTGTTGTTGTGAGTCAGTAGAATCATTGTATGTTTCATTACTATTAGTACTTGATAAAGATGTAGCATCTTGATTTCAACAACAAAAATAAAAAGATATTTTTTTCCTTTAAAAGAAAAACTAACCGGAATTATCATTAAGTGAATCAGTAAATTCAAATTCACTTAATACTTTCATATATTGAGTTGTTGTTTTAAATTGACCATAATATTTTTCAGATGAAAGAATATCAAAAACCTTTGAAATTAATAATTTATCAAATATATTTATTTCGAATAAAATAATATTAGTCATACTTTTGTTTGAAGTTCATCAAGTAATGTTTCATCAATAGTTTCTGAATTTAAATTTTTTAATGTTTTTCTTATTAACATTTCATCCATAGGTAATTTAAATGTTCCCTTAAAAAAAATTTTTAATCATTAAAATTCATTTATTTATAATTGATATATATATATAAGATTCAAATTTTCTATTAGAGATAATCATTAGACAAGTATTGAAGCAGAACGAAAGAAAAACTTTTGTAACATATGAAAAATTTCTTTGATGAATTTCGCATTTGAAATCCATACTTTGAATTTATCATATAGTGTAAAATGTTTACATATATGCAGTGAATACTAATAATTGACTAGATATCAAAATACTTATTTTTATTACTTAACACTAACACTCAACAATTCGCAGATAAACCTGTCATATTTCAAGCAGGTTTTGGTAGACAACAAAAACAAGGAGCACTATAAAAATAACAAGTCAATGTTTATCTTATTTTTTGTTTGTTTTCTGACAAAACACAGAATTCGAAGTTTCAACGCTTTATAAGTCACAAAAAAAGGTATCTTGAAAATATTTAAAATACACTAACAATATTTTGTTGTGTTTATGAAGAAGATTTCAAGATGACATTTTACAACGGCTCAGTCAAATAACTTATACTTCTACTCATAAGGCTATTTCTTCTGATTACATTTTTTTTTTGAACACTCTAAGTCAATTGTAACATCTCTTGATTAGTTTCCAATGATCGAATTGAGATGAAGTTAGTATATTAAATTTAAAGCTAATCTTTCGATAACAAAATTCATATTAAACGTACAAAGAATCTTCTAACGAACATAATAAAACAAACGAAAAAACTCACTGTTGAAAGAAAATATTGTTCAATAAGATCCTTAGCCATATTTCGAAGTATTTCTTTATTTGCTTGTTGTTGTTCACATGTTAAATTAGCATTTTGTTGAGATGCTGATAGACCAGCACATCGAAATGCCTAAATATAAAAATATAAATTTTCATTCATTATTATGTATTCTTTTTACTTCAGCATTCAAATAAAAATTTCCATAACCAACAGCATCAAGTGTTTGCAGAAATTCTACAAAAATTTTCAATAATTTCAATAAATTTATTTACAAGATCTTACTTAAAAAATAATCTAAACCATTACAATTATTTAAAATTTCGGCTAATGGTAATTCTCGATAAGAAACTTTAGGTAATATATCATCATCATCCTATTAAAAAAGAATTTTTTTTTTTCTATAAATAATATTTTGAAAAGAAAAGAATCACTAACAAAGACTATTATTTCCGTTCGATTTTGTGTATCTAATTTGTCATTAAGTAATTTTTTTAAATATTGATAACTATTTAATGTTGCACGAATGTCTGCATCTAAAAAACAAGACAAAAATCTACTCAATAAACAAAAACAAATACATATACAAGGGTGGCTTCCAAAATAATTTCACTGTTATATACATCAATAAGAACTCATAAAGTGATTTATGTAGAGTTTTATTTGTAGCAAGAATTTTTGGAGAGACACATGATTGCTAGTTTTTCAAGGATAGGATCTTTGAAATATTTGAAAATCAAGTTTTTCATTTGTTTGAGTTTGCACATAAAGGTCTCTCTGAACTATTCTGAATAACCAAGCAAATAACACTACAAAATGAAACATCTTACAGTTCATTAAAATGCTTTATGCTCGAAATACATTTATCTTACGGAAGCACAAAAATGATATATCCATACGAAATAGCAGACAGAATTACTTTGGCGTAGTGATGAATGAGACCAATCGTTTTTTCGTGTTGTTTCCAATCTCAGTCAAAAAACATCTGATCTTCGTCTCCCCGAGGACTAGAAGTGGGCAGTGTTTTATCCAGAGGGGTGCTCGGGGGGCCGCGCTCCCCCGAAAATCGAGTTCGCCCCCCCGAAACTTGTGATCATCGTGCTATGAACACGTGGCTTGCCCCCCCCCCCCCCCCGAAAATCATTTTTCGCTCCCCCGAAATTCCAAATCGCCCCTCCGGAAAAAAAAATCCTGGATAAAACACTGGAAGTGGGCCCATTTGACTCATATTTACTGTTATGTCCTCCATAAGATTGATGTATCTTGGTCAAAAAAACGTCGTAGAGAATTAACAATGTGTTTTATTATATCGAGAATTGTTTGCTCTATCATTCTGAATAATTCAAACGAAATTTCTATTTGTCACTTTCAGAAAATAAAAGACTTATTTTTACTTGTTTTCAGAGATCGTACTTTTGAAAAACTAGCAATCATTTGTCTTTTCAAAAACCTTTGCTGCAAAAAAAACTCTTTAAATAACTCTCTTTCAGGATTCTTATTGATGTTTACAGCAGTAAAAAAAAAAAAAGATTGAAAATAAACCCAGTTAAATAACTTTGAGAGTTATTAAATATAAAATTTGATATACCATTTTCTCCTCCAGTATCTTTTGAACGCCAACGACTGATTTCTACATCAAGTCGTTCGACTAATGTTGTTAATTCATCTTTTGAATCAGTTGTTCGAACAACAAGAAGAAAATTATCAATCGTTAATGGAATTTGTTGACACTAAAGAATTATAAATGTAAATTATTTATTTCTTATTTATTTTTATCTTTTCTTACCATACTAATAATCAATTGATTCAATGCATCTGGATCTGAATACATGTCAATAAAAGGTATTAAACCTAAATTAACTGCAACTTCCTGAAAAAAGACAAACATATATATATATATCTTGAAATATTTTAAAATTCAATTTTACATACACGAAGAAGAACTCGAGCTGGTATACAACGAAATTCATTAGCAGGTAAAAGAATATAAATAAGAACTTCAACAATATCTCGAAGAAATTCTATTGATTATATTCAATTAATAATTTTAATCAATAAAATAATAATACCTTTTTCTTTATCTTTATCCATACAAACATCATCTCGACAAATTCCTCTTTCATATTCAGCTTCTAAATCAAAAAAACATGAACGAATATCTGTTGATTGTTCCAAACGTAAACGTTCTTTTGCTTTTCGATATAATCGAACATGTGTTGCAAAACTATCAACAATTGTTCCAGTACAAAAATCTAACCAATCAATTTCATGTAATCTAATGAATAAAAAAAAAAATTCTATTGAATACTTATAAAATAAAAATTTTTAATAAATAACCTTTCGGATAAATGACGAATTGTTGTATAAATTCCATTTTTTACATCATTAATAAATGATTCATCCGAACTTAATTGAGTTTTATACCAAATTTCAATATAATCACGAACAAATAAATCAATTAACTATTAAAGAAATTTTTTTTTTTTAACACACGAAATTATTCTTTTTTTTAAATTAAATTTACTTCATAAAGTGGCTCATCAATATCAGATATTCCTGTTAGTGGAACATGTTGAGTAGATGAATTTGAAGATTTCAAAGATGATGATGAATCATATTGAAAATCAGAGATCTAAATATATATGTTGTTATTTTAGATTATGATATATTATTTAATATTTTGTCCAACAATTATTTTTTGTTGAATATTATAGGCTGTATTAACATTAATTAATGGTTATTTTTCATTCAAAATGAAGTAAACTTTTTATAGCTATAAGTAAATCGACATCTAACCAAAATAAATATTTGCTCGGCTTTCTTTTATATTGACATACATGTCATGATAAAAATTTTTCTACATAAATATTAAGGTAATTTTTATTAAATCAGTAGTAGTAGTAATTCAAAACTTGATCAAATTTTTGTCTATTTAGGATTAATATTTCATTCGGAGAGAAAAAAAAATTAGATGACGTTTAAATGTAAAAGACTTTATCAATCAAAATAAACTAATATGAATAATAATAGTAATCAATACTTTCTTTTGTTGTATTTAATCTAGTGGAAAAAAGTTAGACAAAGAACGTATGCTTGATTTTTTCCTTATAATACTAAGCAAATAGTTCTAATCCAAATAGTGATTTTAATAGTCAATAGAATTTTCTATTCAATACGTTGGCAAGATTTAAAAAAACTGGATAGGATAGGTTCTAAAAGCTATGTTTAAAAATGCTACTTTACAAAAAATAAAAAAAAGAGTTCGCCACATGGCCTGAAACCTGAAAACTGGTGTTTTTATTTGATAAAAACTCTATTGGCTATTAAAGACGCTTCGTGAATTTGAGCGAATTGTTTATTCTAAAACATCACTACTCTTAAGATCATTTCTATCCCAAAACGTAAAGCTCTGTTTGAGAACCAAACTGAGTTCATAGAGGATTTTATTAGAAACTCTTTAAGAGATATATCAACTATAACTTATTAAATCCTAATGTGTACATCAATCGTGTTTATTCACCAAAATTATTAACACTATGTGAATAAATCTATATTAGTATTATTAGTCATACAACAATAAAAGCGTTCATTTATAGTTGATCTCATTTTTAAATAACTTTTATTTGGATGTCAATAATTATTTTCAAGCTCATCCTTAATGAGCAATGACTTCGTAGGGCTTTATAATTATGTAGAACAGTGCAATTATCTCATACACTCAATGAAATTACACTATGAATGAATAAATTTTGAATATCTGGAAAAGAAAATCCGAGACGATACATATTATTATTCATCAATCTGAAATCGTACTATCTAAGTCAATGTTTCCAGTCGGAAACAGGTTATATTTCTTGACTTGGTTTATGAGGTTTTCAATAATGAAAACTATATTTAATCAAATTTCTCTTATCAAATAGAATTTTTTACAATTTTATACTAAAGAAACAGTTAAGCAAACTAAAACTTCTTACCCGAAAAAATAATTTTGATTGAACAAAAGCTGTTCTAATTTTATCATAAATTGGATTTGATTTCATCCATATTTGTTTATGAATAATCAAATGAATAATAAAACTAAATTAAAATCATTAATTTTCATAATTAAAGCAACAAAAATAAATTCAAAACGAACCCAACAATAAATGCTGTAAAGACAAATAACCAATAAATAGTTCTTTGAATTCCAAAAAAACCCAAAATCAAACATAGACCAGCGATAATAAGATGTTTAGAAATCATCGAAGGCCATTCAAAACATAAAACAAAATTAAGTACCTTCTAAAATAACATTTCTTGTTCTTCAAAAAACAAAACGAAACAATGAATTTTTCAATTGGTTAAAAATCATACAATACTAATATTATAGATCGAGCTACATCCATTCTTTTTGTTGACTATATTAGTGGCTCTCGAAAGCCGTTTCAAAAGAAAAGGAAGAATAGTAGGAAAAAAAACAACAACAATTATTATTTCTCATGTATTGCCACATATACAATAATAGGTTTGACTCATTTAGATAATAGATTGTTGTTTTTTTTTTACCAACCGAATGGTAACTATTGATGAGTTTTTTGAATCAAGTATCTATTCGGATTCTGATCATGATTCAGCATTAATGGAAGATGCTCATTCTGAGGTTATTTCATCATCAATAATAACAAATGGCTCATCATCATTGAGTGATGATGAAAGTTTTTCAATGGTTTTTAAAACAAAATCTGATCGAATTGAAGAATATTTAAATAAAAAAAATAAAGACAAATTAATTAAATATGCTAAAAAAACTGGTTTAATTAATATATTATATCGTAAACAGATATGGCCTTTAGTAATTCATCCACCATCTTATTGTACAGTAGAATATGATAATAATAAGAAATTATATTTTTGTCCAATTGATTATTATTCAGCAGGTATTTATTATTTATCAATTTGATTTTTTATTCTTATAATAAACAAATTTATTAAAATATTAGATACAAATCAAATTGAATCACATCGATTTTATGGACAAGTTAGAATAGATGTTGAAAGAACATTAAAACGATTTCCACCGAGTATAAATATTTTTAAACAAATGATTATTCTTTTTATTTTGTTTATTTAAAGATTATTCTGATTCGGATAGAATTGAATTACAAGAAGAACTTATTATAACCGTTATCAAAATTTTAATCAAACATGATTATCTTAATTATTATCAAGTAAACTATTTAAATGAATAAAATATTTATTAGATTTTTTATTTTTGCATAGGGTTATCATGATATTTGTTTGACATTTTTAATTGTACTCGGTGCAGATTTGTGTCTTCCATTTATTGATACAATAACTAAATCACATTTCAAGTAAATTTTTGTTTAATATTCATAATTAGATAATATTATTATTTCATATTAATTTGTGAAACAATCTTTAAGTATAGAATGAGATCTTTATGAACATTAAATGAAACATATTAGAGATATAAAAAAAAAAAATTTAAGTAGTATCTCATAATACGATTTCATAAAGATTTCTATTAAAAATCTTTATGATTTAGTAGAGAAATAATATCTTATATAGTTAAAACAATTGGTTCTCAGACAAAAGGCACGACATTAGAAGTCTTGATTTTTACGAAATACAATTTGACTATATATATTTAGATTGCTCTATAGTTTGTCATGGCTTTAAACTAGTAGTATAACCAAGGAGAAGAATGAAAGACCTAATGAGAGAATTAATCGAGCTGATTCCTATCTTTTGAGCTCATATAAGGTTCAGAAAGATGTCTCAGTAAGATGAAAAAAATTCATGATCATAGATCTCGGGAAATGAGTTCTGATTATTTTATTTAATATTCAATGAGTGTTCTGTAATGGGATTCAATTTAACCCCATCAATCAATAAAAATTCGACGTTTCAAAACATTTTTACTTCTGCAAATTGCTAACTTATATAAAAGTATAGAAATGAATATAGGTTCAATCATGATTAAGCAATTTATTGTACTTGAGAATAGACTACAGAAGCAGAAAATGATATTAAGTTTACTTAAAAAATTCGTTTTTAATGAAAATTCATCTGCAGATGATAACGAACGATACGACGAAGTCACTGAATATATGAAGAGAAAAATGAATAATTATCAAAAAGGTGAACATGTATCATTGTGATGGAAAAACTATTTATGTATGTATCCATAATAATGGCATTTTGGCACCAAGACTGCATTTCATTCCAGCATCATCAGCAACAAACAAACGTATTATTAACGAAATTGATCGGATTTTAGTAGCAGAAATACAGCAAGTGAATCATAAATCATCTTCTTGGTTTGTCAACTTTGAGATGATCTCCTTTTTCTTTGTTCTTCTTTATGGAAGAAACTAAATAGAATACTTTTTCGTATCAAATAAAAATTTGAAAACTGTACTGTGACTGTGAAAATATCTACCAAACGTCGATTAACCTAGGTTTAGTTTCTGTCGCGTTGATCCAACTTTAGGTTTTTATCGACAAATCAAAGAACGAAATTTCGATCTGAAATTTTGTCCATAGATAAATCTGATCACTCTGGTGCATATGGATGAGATCTCAGGTCGAAATTCTCTTATTTGGTTCTTCAGTTAATATCTAAAGCTAGATCGAAAAATTCAATAAAACGATCATAAATGGACTCCTGAGACCGATGTACACGAACCCTTTTCGGATTTTTTTTGTCTTACCGAGACTTCATTGTGAGTCAAATATGAACTTAAACGACAGATATCAGTTCGGATTCACTTCTCGTAAGCTAAGTAGCTAACGTGTATTACGTGCTTTTCCTCTCGACAGAACTTCCTATTGTCGAAATCCAAATCATCTCACTATTTTAAACTTATTTTGAAGCCATGTCTAACTACCAAGTATAATAAAAAGAAAATAGCTATTTAATCTTCATTTTTATTAACCTATTTCATACTGTTTAGAAGCTGTGAACAATCGAGTTTTAATAGTAAAAATCAGAACTAATTTTCAAACTTGAAATTTAAATTCAACGATTGAAGATTTTTGGAATATGTAATTGTTCATGTGCATATTTTTATGTTATTCTTACTGAGATAATATCTGAAACGAATAAATGGATTAAACCGTCAGTTTTAGAATATATGAAGATTAAGTACACATCTACCTCAGTCGTACAAATAGATTTTAAAGTTAAAAGGTATGACATGTGTACTTGTGTTACAAAGCATTTAATATCAGTATCCGTTTTAGATTATTATAGTAGCATACATTTGTCGATTTATTTTACTAATAATAATGATATATTATTTATATATATATATATAGAGACTTTATGGGACCAACAATGGAAAAAACACGAGATTTACTGTCTTATCTAATGCCACTTATCAATTGTATCAATAGTGAATGTGCTGAATATATGCAAAGGTAAACAAAACCATTCTTAATTGTCTTCATTAAATATAATTTAAATTTTCTTCGAGTATAAACCGATCTCATTTTTTTTTTTAATTTGAAAACACAATATTTTTTAGAATATATAAATTGAAGAATTAGAATTTGAAACGAATTGGAATTCTAGACTATAATTTCAATTAATTTTCTCTTTCTCATGTATCAGTCATCGAATATTATGAATTGTTTTATTTGTAACTTGAATACTCTTTGATCCACGACGATCTTGATTGTATTTAAAATTCAAAGAAATATTTCATTTCATTTCAGAGGTGGTGTTGGAAATGTTATGTTTGCTTTATCATGGTTCATCACATGGTACTCACATGTATTGGATGATCTTGACATAATTCTACGACTTTATGATTTATTTATTGTTTCACATTTTCTTATGCCAATATATGTAGCTGCTGAAGTAAATTATTTATTTTTTTTGTTTATATTGAAAAGAAACATTGGTTTCTTTTTGTTTATTAGATTGTCAATTTTCATGCGGATCAAGTTTTATCAATTGACTGTGATATGCCTTCATTACATCAATATTTAACACGTTTACCCAGTGAATTAGATAGTAATAGTTGGGAAGAAATTATTAATAGATCATTACATCTATTCCGAAATCATCATCCAGATACACTTGATGTATTAAATGATGAATGGATAAGAAAATGGTAAAATATTTAATTAAACTAGTTTTGTTGTCTTTTGTGAAACATGATCTAAAAGGAGTGTTGAAGAGTATGCGAGTAAAAATTTGAATCAACTCTCACAATTCTTGAGAAACGCTACTTAGAGACCGGTCGAAAATTTTTCAACTTTTTCGATTCGGTTATAATTCTACATGACAACCCATGACAGACATTGATATACGATGTAACACCGTATATGCATAACCTCTCGTTATAATATATGAACTACTTCCTTATAACATCTCTGGAGAATGAAGAAAGATATCTCAAAACAGATAAAATAAAACTATCACTCTTTGATTAACAATAGCAACTAGATCATACTGTCTATTTTATTTCTGTAGGGATTGTACTAAGATTTTATTTTTTAATAAATCTGTGTTTTAGTGAATTTATTCAAAACTCACCTATGGAAACATCTATTCGACGGCGATACGGTACAGATTCATTTGAAAATGACAATAATCATGAAAGATCTTCGGATATAAATGATCGTAAAGAACAACAAGGTGCATTGCCACGTATTGTTCTTTGGGGTGTGACACTAACGATAAGTGGTTTAGCTATTTATATATGGAATCATACCCAAAGAACAGATCCAGCGGCATTTATTAGTCTCGGAGATTTTCTTGCACAATTATATGGAAAATAAATCGACTTGTCTTACTTTGTTAACTTTGCTATATTCATTCCCGAACTCTAGTCGCTCTGTTATATGTGAACATTATTGTCTTGCTTTATATGTATATAGCGTTATGAAAAAGAAATCAAGAAAAAAAATTAATCGATCTATTCTTTTGTGTATATTGGATAATAACTATTTTCTTCTGTTGTTCTCTTATATTTTATATGCATTTAATGGAAATTTTTCGTTTTTTCTTTGTTTATTCAACCTTTATTTTTCTCTATTGTTGTTGTTGTTGTTGGTGGGTCTTGCGCATTGAACCAAGAAAAATAATTAACATAAATTAATCTATACTTGCAAGAATATGAAAATTATTTCTTTCTAGATGAATCTCGTCTGATCTGATTTATTCATTATTCTGTTGGTAATAATGGATACAGTCGATCCTCCAACTGAAATAGTTCATCAAGAACAATCAA